TTGATGATATCTTGAGTTATTTGACTTTTAATAAATTATTCTGAATTTATTATAATTGTATGGAATATCAAAATCTTCAACTCACAAAAACACTTGATATTTCTAAAATTATTTCCTTTTTATCTATATTATTCGATCAAATAACTTTCTCAATTAACCCTCTTTTTAATTTAACCCTCTTTAGTCGATTCATGATTCACTTGTTGATTTATTTAATTTTTGAAAACAAAAATTTTTACATAATAAATTTTTTTATAACCACAAAAAATTCGCGTTATAGAGGGTTAAATTAAAAAATAATTTTTTCTCTTTTTTGAAAAACCTAATTTTTTGAATATGTGTCACTTTAAAGTAAAAGAACGACAATGTCAACAATTATATCTTTTTCGCTGGTGTAACGAAAATCGACCATCGATTATTCGATGTAGCGGATGAATTTCTATTTAATCATCGATGTCATGGGAAACGGACGTCATTGGTGGGGCGATGGCGGATGGGAGCGCACAGAGGATAACGGAAGTTACAGAAGGGGATAGTGCGATAATAAATATGCCCAGCGCCGGCAGCCATAAATCCTGCGTAATTGAATTTTCAACATCCATAACTGGCCGTCGCTCGGCGCGACCTCAGGAAATAGGACGGAACGGGACGTATCTTGAACGGGAGTTAGATGATTCCATTCCGCTTTCGAAAGGCGCGGTCCTCTCGCTTCTTTCTCCTTCCGCTCTCTTACTCGCCACAGCAATAGACGGAATCGATTCCACGACGTTCGTGTAGTCGGAGACTATTTTTAATTCGCCTTCCAGATCGAGCCGCGGTGCAACGCGATGGCCACCTTTCTCCTTCACTCTTTCTTCTCCTTTTCCTCGATTCTCGGCGAGCGACGAGTTCCTTTGACTCGAACATCTAATCAAGGATTTTCTCGATTCTTAAGTCCCTCGTCCTGCCAAACTCTATACCTATAACGTTCTTTCTCGCCACTATCTCCTCGTCTTCCTCCTTGGTTTGACTTCACCTTTTTCCTACCACTCTTCTCATTCTTCTCCGCGCTCGTCGGCGCCGTCGCTGTCTTCGCGCCGTTGTCGTTGTCGTGCAGACTTGGCGCGGAAAACTTTGATTGTACGTAAGTCGAAAGCGTCGAGAACGAAAAAGGAACTCTCCGAAAATCGTGGGGTGGTTGCCGCCAGTTGCCGAGAGTCGTCTTGTCGCACGATGGGATTTCTGCTGATTGGAAATCCTGTCATTCAATGGCCCGCATATATATTTCCCGATAGACCCGCCAGCGTGACGACGACAAACGTGCTTTCGTAAAAAGTCACAGCGAAGGGTAAGAGAAGAATAGAAGTCGCGTTTTGTATATTTGCCAAGATCGCTAACTTTTCTCTTAACTGCGTTAATGCTCTCTACGCAAATAAACTCACTTTAACATTTTTAATGTTATCTGCAATGTCAACGTGCCGCGCGATTTACTTTCATCATGACGAAAACGAGACAATCCTAGCTTGAGAGGATCTTCGAAGAATCGACCATGTTCGCTGGTTGGTAGCATAGGTTATCCACCATCACGATAACAACCGGAGATCCGGGGGTTGCCGTGACGTCAGAGATTAGCCCTCCTGGCGGCGAGAAACAAATGACGTACTAACTGCATATTAACCCCCCCAAACTACCCGGGTTGTCTGTGAAGTCCGCCTACTGCCCAATGATCCGCGCCGCGCGCAATTCACGATTCACTGCCGTTTCATGGACTGGACTAAACTTTCTCGACCGACGGTGAACGCGTCGAGCACGTAATCACCTTGTCTTCCCTGATGGATTAGGATACCCGGCGATGGAAACAATTATCGACAACGCGCCGATTGACCGGGATTAGTTGAAATCGTCCTACATCCAATTAGCACCTTTTTACGTTAACTCGATCTCGAAACTACTCGCTCTAATTATTTTGCGGAATATATATGAAAATTCGACAGAATTTTGAAAACGACGAATGGAAAGACAAGTTAGTATTATCTCGCCTTAATCTTCCGTAGAAGCAATGCCCGCAGTCAAAGTCTTGGAACAAGTACAACAGCAGCGCGCTCTTTGGCGAATAAAAATATTACTCTGGCACAATGTTCTTCTCGAAAGAGAACGCGATTCTTTCTAGGCTCCGTCCGTCAGATTTCAAAGTTCTTCGCTGCGCTTCGGTAGTTGTACATATTTCACGAGACCGAGTCGCTCCGCGTATTCATGGAGCAATGTTTCTTACTCGCAAGAAAGTTAGACAGTAAGTTAGCACGCTGTCGCGCGTTATTCATTACCTTTGTTCCTTCTGCGATCGTCTCTCAGACAATCGCGAGAAAAAATACGTTGCGCAGTATCCAAGATCAACCAAGCTTACTCGCATTCGTATTCTCATGGTGTTCTTAAAGTTGAATGTTTAGACGGCCAACTTTTTACGATGATTATTTTCCGGGATACGCTTCATGATTAATGCCGGCAGTTTTCAACCACATTGAATAAATGTCTATCGTATCTATCTTATCTGTGATAATATCGAGGAGCGATTTAGAAATTTTAGTGAATTTATTTAGTTGATTTTTCGTGTGCCGTGTTTTTACATTATTGCTAAAAATTAATAAATAAATCTTACTTATAAATTAAATAAGATAATATTGTTCAATGTTCAAATTCTCTCTGAAATGTTACACATATTCCAAAGATTTTTCCACGTTGAACAGAATGTGGTTGACAGAATTTACATCAGGATTTTTTTATAAATTGAGGCAATTTTTAGTTCATTTCACCCTAATTTACCAAAAATTCTGATGTGCTATGCAAATTCCAACGGCGGTTTTGTCGTCGTGTTTCAGCGCGAAAAAATCTTTGGAGTATGTAATATGATACTTCGAAAAGAAAAAAAGTGATTTTTTTGTTAAACTGCTAATTATATACAGAAAATCTAAAATTCAAATAGCCATAACTTAATGAAAATAAATAGTACAATTATAAATAACTAAAATTCATTTAAAATAAATTGCACAATTATAAATAACTAAAATTAATTTAAAAGCTATTGACTTGTACGTTTAGATGCCGTAGACTTTATTTAGAAATAATTAAGTTTGATTGCGTTTATAAGTCCAGAAAATCAATTCGGCGCGCAGTTCGAATGATTATAAATATGATAATATGTACATATATATATATATATATAATATATATACATATATATTATAAATAAAATTCACATTGATATTTAAGCATTAAAGGATCTAGCTTCGACCGGTATAGGCATTGTTAGTTCGTGTTAATTATGTTCTCATATGTATGGTCTAAAATATGATTTTTATAATTAAGTATGTTCGTTTTGTCATAAAAAATGTTGAAAGTGACACAAAATACTGTTTTTTGCCTATTTTATTTCAAATTTTGTCCACTTACTCAAAATCCTGACTATGCAAATTTTGCTAATGGCATCGTATTTAGTGAAAAAATATTCGGAGTATGTATTATACTATGGCACTTTAGAAAGAAAAAAAAAAAGACTTTTTATCGAACAATGTAATTAATCAATATTACCGGAACGGAGTTTAAATATTCTGAAATATTCTGAAGAAACTCTGAAGTATACACGAGATAACAGATATACGACACTGATTTTTCGTGAAATATATTCCAGAAATATATTTCATGACACATGTGGATCGCCATCGAGATTTTCTGCGGACGCTACTCATATAACGTATCACTCTTCCTCGGTAGAAGAAGGAAATGTGCAGGACGAGTCAAGGGGATCGAGATAACAAGAGAGTAAGGAGATCCTCTCAATTTTTCTGTAACAAGCACGCCCAAAGGCTGTCTCATAAAAAAAAATACGACTTGTCAGTGATATTAGTGCATAAAAGAAAGCGCATATTATGCGCGAATCTTTACACCAGGCGAGTATAAAACTTGTAGAACGGTATTCGAATTACTGCACGGGGAGGTGGCAATCTATTTTTACGTTCAGTATTCCCTTATCATGGGGAACTAATTCGATTGCGAAATAAAAGTTGGACGATCAAGGACTAGCAGAAGCCTCGGCTCCTTACGAGTGAACAATTTCTCAGCAGGAGTTGATTTGTAGGACAATATTTTTCCCAGACTAAAAGATAACACATAAACGCGAACGTGCTGTGGTATTCTTCGGAGCTGTCTTCGAGCTTTGCTCGCCTTTTTTCCTCCGTTCTACTCTTTTCCCGTTCTCACTCTTTTCTCAGCGACTTTCTTTTCTATCTAGGCTTCTTCCACGCTTCGGGTGGCACGTGACCTCGTTCCAAGATAAGACAATGTTTCTTCACTCTCGGTGGACAGAAAGAGATCTCTATCCACTCTATTCACCTGATAGATAAGTTGCTCTTCTGCCGTGGATGGATGAAGAAAATCTACACCACCTCAAACGACTGATTCGTGATCCTTGACTTGATCTTTATGTAGGTAGAAGAGCCATATATTCAACTATTCCAGCTATTTATAACTTTCCTATATCTGATCCAATTTGGGAAAAAAGATGGAAACTTTATATAGAAATTAAAATATTGTACTTAGCTCTCAATTATCTTAATTCAAATTAAGAAATATTATAGAAATATTATAGAATGAGATAATTATAATAGATGTCTCATATTCAATGATAATACTCAATGATACAATTTAGTATTTTAAAAGATTCATATTTTAATTTTAATAACATTTTAATACATTTTGCGGTTATTGCTCCTAATTGCAACCATTTTTCATTATTAATAAAACGGAATAAATACAACAATTAGCAACGAAACGCTTTGAAATTTTTAATCCAAGATCAATAAAAATAGATCAGCTATGGGGATGGCAGCACAGTACGGGCTTTCCTATTCTGCCATCTCTGATAAACTACAGAAAGCATGATATAACATGTAAATAATTAAAAAAAATTTTTAATTGCGTTGAGGTTGTATCTATTGCGGAATGATTGAGAGGAGAACGAAAAAATGTTAGTTTCATATTTGCTTGTATTTGTAGTAATAGCTTGATATACACTAAAGAAGTTTAGTCCTTTCTTATTCATATAGAATTCATATAGAAGTTATATTGGTTTCTTATCATAGAATGGGGTTTCCGTTTATATCAACATTTTTAATGAGATGTATTTTTAAAAAATCTAGGCGACCGATCGAAGTTGCATTTGTGGTAAAAATGCAGTGTGATCGATCGATATCCTCTCGATAACAGTCATTAATAGTTGATCAACAATAAGTTTACGTTTCTTCCGCGTTTACTTTCTCCGTTTGCGCCGATACAGTATCCTCGGCTATTTTTTCTCGAATTCCCATCCATTTGCAACGCTTTTCCAGTTCTTGTCGATACCTGTACATACACATTTTTTTCAGTTACTTATATAATTGGAAAACTACAATTGCTTATCTCGGAATTATCTTTTGATCTTATCGAGTATCGAAATTATAATAATTGCACTGTATTTTACATAAAAAACATTTTGTTTTTATGTTAAAATTGATCTTTGCTGAAATTATATATCTTGAATTTTTAATATATCTGAATGTTAATATAACGTAATGTGATTGTGTCATTTAAATATTTCATTAAATTAATATTTAATATGTCTTAATGTTAAAATAATATAATGTTAAAATAATATATACAATTATTATTAGTAAGTGAATAAGTAATAAAACTAATGTTAATTTTAAAGTATATTGTATATTTTAAATTTTAACATAAATGAATAAAATGCATTAATTAAACATATATAATAAATATTAATTTTACAAAAAATATAATCTACAATTTGTTTATAAATTAGGTGAGTGTTATATATTTTAGTTAATTTTTTGCATAATATTTGTGTTATTTTTTCACATGTGCATCTCGTTAAATTAACATAAAAATTTGCATGCAACGTTTGGAAAATATGTGAAATGCGTTAAATTTAAACGTTAAAATACGTTAAATTAAACGCAAATTTTCCAATTGTAAACAAAATTTTATTAGAAATGACATAATGCTAGAACGAATACGTGTTACCTAGGATGGTTGATTGCATATATCCATGGATCGATGCACGACACCGTCTTGGCGAATATGGCTGGTAACATAGTCGACAGCGGAGTAAGCGCTTCGCTGGAATATATATAAAATGAATTGAAGAGGAAAGTAGAAAATTTTTCGAATCGAAAAATATTTTCGATCTCGTTACCGATTTCCATAGGCTCCAGTTAAAGCGACTACTGCATACGGTGTCCATGCAAGCACAAAGAGGAAAAATATCGTAAATGCAGCTTTTGCAATTCTCATCTCAACACTTCTCTCTTTGTCTTGGTTTGATACGAGTGATTTGACGTTCATCTTTTTAGCCTATAAACATACAACGCCAAATAAACCCTCCATAATTTATGTCATCGAAGCTTAAGGTCGATTTGTCATTGGACTGAATCGCGAAATTTCTGCTTACTTGATCGCGGAGCATTTTCTCGTGAGAGCGAATAGATTTCAACAATTGCGAATAAAAGTATATAATCAGTAGCATAGGAAGAACATACGCCCAGAAGAATATTGTTATTACAAATGTCTTCGTGTCCTCGTCATCCGTTAGATAATCGAAGCTACATGTCGTAAGGAAACCCTCTGAAAATCATATAATATTTAGTATTTACTAAATGTCTATAATACTTAACTTTTTTACTAGAAAATCAGATAATAAAATTACTCCAAAAATCCCAAAATACATTTTATCTTATCTTTTAATCTTAAAAATCTCAAATGGCAATGCAAATTGTTCGCGAGATGAAAATGTAAGTTAAATGTAAGTCCTGTTAATCACAGGAAATTATAATATGGAGCTTAAATACGAAAATGAAATCTTATTACTTTAATATAATAAAATCTTATTACTTTACTTTATTAAATCTAAAATACTCTCTCTCCCTCTCTCTCTCTCTCTTTCTCTCTTTATTAAATCTTATTACTTTTCTAACAATAAAAGCGATAGAAGGAACCTGTTTACCTGCCACATATCGACCCCACAATCCTGTCATAGGCAATATCGAGAATGGCAGTGCCCAAAACCATGTGAATAGAGCTAGTACCATAGCTTGTTTTCCATTCAGTCTACCGTCAATCGGACAGCTAATTGTCCTGTAGTATCAAGACGTATAATAGAATAGTTACAATCCTGCCGTTATTATTGATTAAATTGATTAATGATAAGTGCCGAGAAACGTTTATTAATAAAATTTTTTGTCTTTGTATGAGTCTGTTATCGTTATCATTGACATAGTCGTTTACAATGTACTGCAGTCGTTAAATTTTAACGAGCGTGTAATCGCTTTGTAATTGTTCAATAATTGATTCTATAAAAATGCAATTAAACTTGTTCAATAGTAATCAATAAAAACAGTCAAAGCCAAATCGCGCGTGCCGACCTGTATCGATCGAAAGCGATCGCTGCGTTGGTAATCGCTTGTCCCATCCCGGAAATCGCACCGAGCAAAGCATACACATCGCATCCGGTCTCCCAACCAATGGTTCGTTCCAGGAAGCTGTTTATGATCAACATAGGCATCTCCGTTGCCATCAGTAGATCGAACACAGCCAAATTCAAGATAAATATATTCGATGGTGTCCTCAATGATTTTGACCTAAGCATTAATATATCAAAATAAATATTCATTACGGTAAACATTAATTTTAAGAAAGATTTTGTTTTAGAAGAAAAATATAGGGTAGAGAAAATGTGATAATATTTTCTATCATACGTAGCAAAGACTGTGCCAAAGCGATTCAGTCTCACGTATAAAGATGGCGACAGCACCACCGTTTTATCGATCTTGTAAGCAGGAACATTTACATGCCTACGTACATCCAGTTTTAACAAGAGATAGTAATAAATTATAGTAATCAAAATTTTTAAAAAGTCGAAAAAAAATACAATCTATGAATTTAGCAAAAATAAAAATAATAAGAATAGAAACAAACGTCTTAATGTGTTTGATGTAAATGGAACAGGATTGCGCAAAATAAAGCTTATTTTTATATAGTTTAGCCCCTCTTTTCTTCTTTGATAAAATGTTACGAATATTTACAATATTAATAGTGGTAAATTAAAAATGGTTTAAAAAATTAAGAAGATTAAAAATTGTGTGTTAGGCATTAATAAGATTATATATAATTCACAATCATTAAAAGATCGGACGAAATTATATAATAATTCTTAAAATATGCGTATATTTTAAAAGCGCGCATTTTATAAAAATACATTGCATATTTAATATATCACACATATATATATATAGTTGAATTTTGGAAACTATATTGCTAATAGTTGAAACTATATTGCTTATATTGCAATTATTGGAATTTTAATTTAATTAGATTTTCTTAGCTGTATTAATTTTCAAATCGTCTTAAGAAATTTTCTTAAATAATACAAACTTACGTGCTAAAAATCCAAATAACAATGCCATTCCCAAGGAGGGACAGCATCAGGAGCAAAAGGTAAATGAGCGCGAGGGCGACGTGCCATAGTCTTCCGGGTGCGAGGAATACACGCCAATGCGGGTGCACGAGATCCGCGTGTTCAGGGGGGAAGTTCCATCCTAGGAAATGTTCTTGCAGTGGCTGTACATCTCTGTTATTTAAAAATATACCGGCTAGTTAATATTTGATCTGATTTGACGAAGTTATCGAAATTTTCGAAACTCTAACCGGGACTAGTAAAGCTTCCATAAATTAAATAATAGAAGCTTATATTTTTCGCGTTTTAATTCAGCGGATTTGATTCTATCAGAATTTTAATCCAGTGTTTAATTACCGTGATGATTAATGTTAAATACTGAAAAGATATTTTGCAAAATGCTTTATACCGTAAAGTAAAAATGATTTTGTATCTGAAATTAACGTCGAAAATTAAGAATACTTGGAAAATTGCTTTAAGATAAGAAACATAATTATAATATTTAAATAAGAATCGTGTAAAATTATAATTTTTCTTTAATTTGATCAAAACGCGATAAAATAAAATCCTAAATCACTATCTACAGATTAAACGGGCAGCCAAGAATTTCCATAAGACCTAGGAGGGTAATTTCTGTCGCTTCCTTCGTGACCGGCATTATTACTCCGTCACGACATCGCAAATGTAAAGGTTGTAGGACAAATAGCTTTCGCGTCGACGATAAGAATTGCGACTTTCCCGAGTAAGACGACCCGCAAATTCGCTACATCGATCGCGATGCAATGCAACGTAGACGTGATCCATTTACGCTCGGCAAATTCGTTCGATGATAAAATCGCCACCAATACGGTTGAAGGGGCATAATATCACGAAAAATTTCGACCCGCTATCGACGAGAGAGAATTCAAACATTATACATTAATCTCGTACAACCGAGACTTGTACCAGGCAAATAATATTGCGAAACCTTATCTGCGTGCAGCCGATGTTACACGTTATTATCGGTAGCATTGTTATTTTCGTTGTTACACCATCACCACCGGCGGCTATTTGGAGAAAAAGATTTTCATTCATCGCGTGGAAAATGACGCGTTTTCACGTGCGGCGAACATTAATGGTAATGAGATCCATTCGCATGTACCATCGATGGATTAAATCCGGCCGTGCGCTAATTGTGCTGCCGAGTGATTATTAGTCCTTCCGGCTTATCGTAGGATCTATGTGGCAGCGTAGCTCCGTAATGCGCGCATGATTTGATAGCCTGTCTATTCTCCGGTCGTAAGAGCTCCCTAAGCTCTTCCTTATCGCATCGCGATCTTATTCGCGAATGAAACGCTGCATCTATGTTGCGAGCGTTGTGTACATGGGCTTGCTGCGAGAACTTTCGTGCTTCTCGCTCGCACCCATTCTGCTTTCATATTCTCCCTCGTGCCGCGAATATTATCAGCGGCTCTTCGCAGCCGCCACACAATGTCGGATGATTATAAGGAGAAATATACGGTATATATATATATATATATATACAAGTATATAGAGCCACACCTACCCGACTCTGCTGGCGAAAGCCAATGGCCCAGCCACGATACCACTACCATTATGCATCAACATCCTTCGATGTAAGTCGAGTCGCGAGCTGACAAGTGCACCGCTCGATGCACTGTTTGATGATGCAACCACCCTCCCCCGCTGAAGTTTGCCAGTTAATTTTCCAAGTCAACTTGTGAACACGAACGACCGGACGGATGCTACCGATATGTGGGAACAATTTCTCTCCTTTCTCCTGCGGTCTGGCTGACTTGTCGGCGCCGCGGACACAGACGACGACGAATCTCCCCGGACGAGATGTACACTTTAAAGCCGTATGTAATAGCTGTGAGAGGTTCCTAGATTGAAGTGAGACGCGATGCGAAGGGGATGGACGCACGTTCCGCAACTCACTTGTCCGGCCACGTCGTTATCGCTCTCTTTTATACGTCCACGACATTTCGGATCGAGGATAGCGTGCCGCCTGAGAGCTTAATTCGATTTGCGATTTACCAAATGCGAGAAACCTTTCGCTCTGGCCCGAAGCTCGTCCGTCACGCGACCGATCCTCGTTGCACGATCTTTCTCCTTTCTTTCTCTTTCTCTTGGCAAGTCGACACGTCCTCTCTCCTAATGTATCGTAATCTCTATTCAAGGTAATCACGGTTATTCGATTCGCCATTTTATGCGGCGTTGGCATTGGAATATTCCCTCGCGAGCACGCGACAGTTGAGCTTGTTGGCAAAAATGTAACGCATTATATAATACATAATGATAATCCCTGCTACAGTTGAGAGACTAAATTGAGAGAACTAAATTAATTTCCGTGCGAGAGACCTCTCGCAAAGCTAAGTCGGCTCATTAATGAATCAGCATACTTATCCTCCAATATATAGATAATATAACATCAGTTTCTCTCAAATATCCGCCTCTGATGAAACGGAAGGTGTTAAATAGCGAAGCGTTAATTTAAAAAAAAATCGATTTCCGATATAATAAAATGCAATTTACAGAAGCGCGTGGCCATCCTCGAGTTAATTAAATTTCCAATGTAGATCCTAATCGAGATTTTATTACACCTTATCGCGATATATAGCCAATAGTAGCCGATGGACCGTAGCCGCAGAATGCAACGCGACCGATGGGAAAATTCGAGAACAAGCGCGGGCGGATGCGTTTCCCGTTACACTGCGAGCTCTCGTAGTCGGCCACAGAGGTTTTTCACTCTCGCGGTTACTACTATGTCGGCGGCGATGCACGCGGGAAATTCATCTCGAGGAGTGCACCCGATATACGGCCGTGCAAGCGACGGCCTCGCGTTTTCACCACTGTCCTCGTTCGCCCGTTCGCGACCGCAGCCTTCACGCATCCACTGGATTAAATCATAAAATTGTCCCGGAACGGTTGCGAAATTCCGTTGATTTACGAGCGGGACTGTGACTCTCGTGGACTCTTCTCTCGCGCGGATACTCGTAGTTGTTATCCACCTACTGGCAGTTATCGATAAATCCGCTCCGGCTGTCCCGCATGAATTCTCAATTTTTTTTGTTGCCTAGATCGATAAAGATGATTTTTGAAACGGAAGGAAGAATTCCACCGTAGAAAACACACGAAAGAGATTAGAAAACAGGATAAAATTGGAATCTCTCTTTCTTTTTTATACGAAAAGCTTTAATAGGAAGCTTTAGAGGGATGTTAGTGTAATATATAAAAAGCCCGGAGGATTGTGCAATTAGACTGAGTTAAGCTTATTGTACAGATATTATTGTTTAGCTATCATTAAAATAAAAAAAATTTATTTTTATTTACTGAGCTTACATATATATAAGCTCATAACTACTATACATTAACACAATAAATTTTTCCATACATCAGTAAATAAAAATAAATTTTTTACTGAGACAGAAAGAGAGAGGAAGATGTATGTGTGTATATATATATATATATCTTCCTTTTTCTTTCTCTCTCTCATCGTCAACAAGATAAAAGTATGATAGAATAAATTGAAGAATATTCTTTCTTTTCATATCCCAGTTGTATTAATCTATTTTTACGTAAAGTCGTTTTCAAATTAGTATTATTTTTCTTTCTACTTATTTAATTTCCAATAATGAATACAATTTTAGCACAAATCAGAAAAGGAATAAAATAAGCGCGCGTTCCTCATTCGTTGACGAGTAGAGTAAAGCCGAGAGAATATGAAGCATCGCTCGACATCGCAAAGAGAGCGAGCATGGCGGGCAGCGCTTTTTCACGATTCACCGGCTATATTTACGAGCAGCGTTCGCCCATGTAATTCGCGCGACTTATAAAGCACCGCCACCATTGTCCGTGATGGAAATTCAGCGGAAAGATTGGATGACAAACAATGGGCCTAGCCCGGCCAGATTATGGCAACAATGAGCGCGACGAACGACGCAGTGAGACGGCGGTCCGCGTTGCAGTTTGCGCCTCTATTTCGCCTTTCGTACATGTGTTGTATTCCTCGCACTTTCACATGTACTTTCGCGATTTGTTATTTCCCGATTTCAGATGTCCATTGTCGATACTTTGGTCCTCGTTGTCAATAGCATGTCGTGATTAAAATAAGAGTATATTGAACTTCTGTAAAGCCGCAGATAACATCGATTTCAAATATTATTTACGGTTATGGTAAAACATTACCACACCCGCCGCGATATCTCTTGCTTACATCTACCATTTTGCTGCCTTGGTCGACGCCTTCCTCTTTTTCGTATGTTCATCGGCCAATATCCGATTGCCGGCCGATACAAATAGAGATCGATCATGGCTTTGGTTACGAGCCAACGACGTGTGCCAATAGGACCACTTGATTGGACAAAACTGCAACCCGTCTTTTTAGGTGGTATACCATACTACGCTGTACGTATTTTTCTGTTCCGGCGGTTCGATAAGCCACATCGGCGGCATTTGGTCTATTGAATGTCGCCAATGTTGCTTCCGTTCAATTTTCAAAAAAAAAAAAAAAAAAAGAAAAAAATTTCAGAATAAAAAGCTAAATCAAATATCAAATACAGAAAAATATTTATTATTAGAATATTGTAGCCATAAAACGGTACAAAGTACAACTGCTAGAAATATGAGGATTTTAGAGGAGTAGCCGTTAACAATAGGCACTGCTGCAAAGTGCCTCCATTTCGTTATGTCGTATGTCGTTTATACGTCGGACTCAAGTAGCAAAACTTGTCACACATTCCCGTTGCAGCATATACAAGACCTTAAACTGTTGCCTGGTCTTCGCCTATCTGGGTCATTTCCGGCACGGAGTGGGATAGAAATAGGGTATTGATTGGTGCCATAAATATATGAAACTGAAATATTAATGGCCAGATTCGCGGGATAAACTACTATATTGTCTCGCTTACCTTTGACCTTTTATTTCTTAACTGTTACTGTTGTTTCGCTATAGCATTGATTCTTATCCCTGAACTCCATCCATATATATATATATATATATACATACATATATATATAATTGTATATGTATATGTATATATAATCGTCACCCGATAGCATTCACATAGTCAAGTTGTAGGAAGGACGAACAAAGGAATGCAGATTGAAGGGAAGCGGATTAACGCTAATTGTGCGGTCGGCGTCGACGACTTCTTGTTCTTGTTATTCTCGCAATGGCAATTTACCGAAATGAGTGAATACGAGCTAGGATAACCCCGTAGTAGGCCCTCGTTTTCCCGACGACAGTTCAATCTTGAGAAACCAGTCGAGAGGATTCTCGATGCGATGAGATTGGAAGTTGACACTTTTTCCCAAGTCAAGAGCCATCGCTATTATTCAAATTGTCTCATCAAAGTCAGTCACGACGCGAAAGCTCTCGCGTCGTTATGCGTGATCAATTCAGCGTCGCATTTAATCAAAGAATCGTTCTTACGAGACAGAATTATGATGTGCTATCGATTGACTTTTGGAAGAGACAAACGTGTTTGAGGCGATTCGTACCTGAACGAGTGGCTAATTTCCTTAATTTAACGATGAAGTACAATAACGAATTTTTTTCGACTCGCCAGCATGATAGAGTGCTTTAACGAAATTCTCTGCCTTTCTTTCGTTTTTCTCCCTGGTTTTGGTGACGGCAGCGGTAGTAGCGACGGGTCATTATGCGCTTTTATTCCACGATTATTTTTACGTAGGAAGAGGAGGGAGAAAAAGAATCGCATACATAGTAGTAGCATCGCAGACAATAAAGCGCATTATGTGCCTCGCAAGATATCTCTCCGCGCGTTGAATGCACTTGCATTCTTTCGGTATCTCGCTCTACAAAAAGAAAACTGTATCCTCGCTCTTCAGTCCGCGAAAGTTGGTCCGTTACGCGAACGCGGCGAATACAAAAAGCCGACGGTGACTGATTGCAAAGAAGCTATTATCGAAATGGAAGAAAACTGCGAAGAGAGCTATGCTTTCAATACGTCATAGTAGGCGAAAATTTTTGCGATCGCTTATACAGGAAGTTGCCGCCGTGTACAAGTGATTATGGCTGATTGCACGTGGCGATGTCTGTCGATTAGAAACTGCTATTTCCAAAGGCATAATATCATCGAAATAAGTGTGTTGAGTTGCACGACATTGTGAGACGAAATACACCCGTTTTGATTAGTGTAATTGATGACGTGACAGAAAAAGAGAAACGCATACATTATACATCTGCAGTGAAAGCATTGTGAACGTTTCTGTGAGAAAATTACCTATAACGTATTTGTATCTATGTAAATTTGCAGTGTAAATTTGATTTGTGAAGGAAAAATTGTGAAATTATCTTCTAAAAACATAATTCAGAAAAATATAACAAATAATACGAAATAAAAGGACGAGTTTATATAATAATTTGTATTGTATTACGAAAAACACAACTTGCATGATATAATTTGTAAAAACTGACATATTTCTTCTACTTTTTGAACGTAATTGGCGCGCAGTTTATAAAACTGAAAAATGTATTTAAAAGGATTTTACACTAATTATACAGAAAGTTGAATTCCGGTGATATGAGTTAGTTTTTACATATAATGAAGCTTGTAATATGGTGAACAAAAGATGTTATAAGCATCAATGATGGATAGTTTTTCAGCAATCTGCAAGTGCATTAATTTATCAAAAGTATATGAAACTTGTGCTCACAGAGCATCTTTGATACAGCATAGCTTAAAAGTTATTTATTATTGAACCTTATGTCTAGAACATCTTTGTGTTACCACATTATAAGCTATATTACATGAAAACTAACTTATTTCATCGAGACCCAATTTTCCATAAAATTACTGAAGAGTCCTTTCATCTATAATTTCAAAATCAATTATTTAAGTTGCCCTAAACAAAAAATGTATTCGTTTTTTCTTATCTAAAACCCCTATTAACTGACAGAAA